TTTATTTTCTGGTTTCAGAAAGATGTCTTCAATAAAAGCCTCAAGAGGTGATTTAGCCATTATATAAGCTTATTTGAAGCTTTTTGTTTCATAAACGTTATAAATGAACATAGTTTCCAATGCATATACACGTACTTACTGACCCACTCACGCTATAAGTAGAATATTCCATATTTTTGCGAACTAAATTATTATTAAGAAGGGTTGATCATCTCGCTGTCTGTTTTAATGTGTCTAACGTCCGATTTTTAACCGGAGACACGAATGTCCAAATGTCCAGTGAGCTATACTTGTGAATTTGCAAATATTATATATATTTAAGCAAGGAATGCTTGTACTTTCTTCCTTTCACATGTGTAAAATTGTGAAATATATTTTTATATTGTTATCGCTTTTGATGATGTTAAATGCTCATATGTAGTAAAACTTTGTATGGTGAAGGGATGTCATAAAAAAGCTATTTCAAAATATCTGAAAATACTCATATGTAACTTTGTGATGTTATAAAGTGATTCTTACCCGTAAGTTATTATAAGGGGTGGGTTATGTGTTGGTTGGTTTTTAAAACAGTAAGTGAACTCCATTTTGGTTTATTGTAGTGCTTCAACTACTCTTCAAATGTTCAGGTGAAAAAAAACTAACACATGCTCCACCCTACATATCCAGTTCCTTTTTATATTTTATTGTGTACTAAATTTCATACAAACGTTCCTATACACATATATCATTACGCATACGATTTTTTAGAAACCTTGCTTAGTTTTATTATTAATAATTAGTAATAGTTGATAAGTAAGGCATTTTATATTTTTCCGCAATATATAGGCATGCGCTTATTTTTTATTGTTTGGTCGTAAAATTTTGTATCAAACTTTTTATTAATAAAAGAATTACCCTTATTAATTTAATATACTAATAGTTACACTTGAAATTTCTTTATATTAGAAGTGCAATTTGCAGTAAGTTATAATTTGTTTCAGAATGGTACTATGAACACCAAAAGAAAGTTTGGCATTTGAAAGGGAGATGAAAATACTGATTAGTTGAAAACTAAATGATTTTTTTTTAGAAATGGTCAACTTGAGATTCAATTGTGAAAATTGTTGGAAAAGTTACAAACACAAAGCTCATTTATTACGTCACAAAAAGTATGAATGTGGCAAAAAACCAACATTTCAGTGCCCACTTTGTGATTATACGTGTTATCGTAAGGATGTACTTCAACAACATCTTTTAACTAAAAGAAATCATCAAACATTTAACTGGAACTCGCAGAACTAAAGATGGATGGTATTATTTATTTTATTTCTATATTTCAAATAAACTTCCAGTTTGATTTGTAAATTTTAGATCAGAGTATTTATTGTATGAAATTAAAATCAATTGCCGAAATAAGATTTTTAATTTATTAAATTGCCTTTTATGTTGTGAATGGTTAAGGAAAGGATTCAGTTTTCAGCGCATTCGTTGATTTATTTAGCAACCGTTCTCAATAGTTTGTTATTCACATAGCTATAATAAAAAATATAAAAGGTTACAGTATAAAAAAGAACCAGTTGAAGCAATTAAATATTTGCTTGTGTGATGTATATGTTTAGAAATCGTACGGTCACAATACAAGACAGTTTCAAATGGTCTTAAGTTCTCTTCAATTATTTTGAAATTTGTACAAGACTAATATTTTTTTTGCTTTTATAGTGTGCACGATTTACCTATAGCACAGATTTTGTGGTTAATCTGTGGCTATAGGTTTAGGTAATTCCTTTGTCTGAAATTATTGAACTAAACAGTTTTGTGATCCTCTACGGTTATTACTAATTATTGCAGACTGTTCAAATATGCAGTATCGCATCAGTTTTATGTTGAAGAGGACATTTATACAAACAAAAGTAAAGAATAAAAGAATTTTCACAGAATGCAGTAGGGTTGCAATTAAATTGGTTAAACGCACTCGCATATTTTCAGGTAAGAGTAAATAAAAGGTCTGTGTGTGCAGTGCACACACTTACCTTTCAAATCGACGCGATGGCTATATTTACTTCAATGGAAGTATCTGCAGTCAAAATTCTTTGAAATATTTTAACAGCAACTTTGAAATTCGCCTGCGTAGACGCATACACGTTTTCTTATGTAACTAACCCATGTAGTACTTTTTTTCTGTTTTGTTAGTTGCAATTTACTCGGATTTACATACAGTTTTTTTTAACTGTTTTATCTAAATTCATTAAAATATTTTTCAGGTTTCGTTTGTGGAGCTTGCAATAAATCTTACAAGTATAAGTCTACTTTAAATCGACATACGCAGTACGAATGTGGGAAAGCGGGTTGCTTTAAGTGTCCTTATTGTACTCATGTGACTAAACAAAAACATTGCCTAAAGATTCATATAGTCAATCGCCACATGGATAAAAAGCAGGAGTTCAAACATTATTTATATCAGCGTAATTAACTCAGTGTTTTAATATGGTTATAGATTGTACATACCGTGTGTCCCAGGGAGAACGCACCATAGGGAAACCGAATTAATGTCAGGATCCACGTGGCTTTTGATATGTATTTTGAAGTTAGCGTTCAACGTACGTTATTGCGCTTGCCTGATTCTAGAAAGAGATTGGAGTAGTACATTAAACGCTAATTTCACAGGTCACGTGGATCCTTCGCGTAAAAATACATTGTCGTTTCCCTATATGGTTCGTTCTACCTGGGCCACACTGTACCTATATGCCTTCTACGATTGTTTACAAAGTAAGCTGCCTGTAGTTCAAAAGCTTCGAATTTGTATCGGATTAAATATAACATAAACCTTATTTATTTATTCCTTACAATTATTTATCTGTCTCCAGTATCCACGTCATGATCCAGAAGTAAACTACCGCTGGTGATGAAGCAGGCCATGCAAGAGTAATGAAATTTCTAAGTGGCTTTGAGCAATTGTACGTTAGTGTAGGGTGAAAGCTAATTCAAATGTTTACTGCCATATAACGGCCGGAAAGCACCACTGTACAATTCGCAGTTCTCACGAGTTTTAAGTTTTGTAATGATGATCACAATATATACAGGATGTCTGATGAACTGAGCTTATAGTATACACGGTGTCCATTTTTCGAGTGCCACTATGGGAATCTCGCTTAGCTTAAGAGATAGAAAGTTGGTTAAATGGGGGCAAAGTTGAGAATTTCCGTGCTGAATAACAATCTGAAAAGAAATTTAAAATATCATCAATAGTTTTGAAAATATCGCAAAAAACGAAACTTTCTGATTTTCGTTTTCAATTTTTTCATGGTAAACTAATCGTATTTGAAATTTCTATAATTAACACATTATTGAGACACTTTTTAATGGAGATTTCGAATATGGCATCTCTTTTTTAATAGCTTTAAAGATGACTGAGAAACGTGGCAACTTTAGTTTTTCTTATGGTCGCCATTTTGAATTTTGACATTTTGAGATTACGTCTTTTTTTTCTCTTTACAACGATATACCACACATGGAGGTTCAGTATCACATTATTCCTAAAAAAACAATTTTTAATTTTTTGGGAAAAGTGCTTTGCAAAAACAAGGCGTTATTTTATTGTGAACAAAAGTTTGACAGCTTGCTCCATCTGTCTGGTTGCAGGGTTGGCAGGGAACTACTTGTGTTAAGAAAATGCTATTTTCATCTGTACAGAATTGAACCTTCGTTTTGCAAGAAAATTATAATTCAAATTAGAACAAAATACATAAGAATAAGTAATATTTTCGGAATAAAACTAGCACAAAATTCGTAACTTTGTCCTCATTTAACAAAATTTCTATCTCTTAAGATAAGCGAGATCCCCATAGTGGCACTCGAAAAATGGACACCGTGTAGTATATGGGAAACTAATATGTGACTAGATTTTTCAAAAATTGTACATAAGGGTTGTTCAATAATACTGTTTCATCTAAAATGTTTTTAGTTCTATACGACGACTTCTGGTATCATTATCATATTTCTTATAACAGCTTTTCATCTACGAGGTCTTTTCGGCAATAGAGTATTACAGCGTTGAAAGTTGCACCTTTACACAAGACAAGTTGATGTGATTATTTCCACATGAGACGCAACCGAGTTGTATATTTTGTGTAGGTTTGTACAATTTTTTGCCTGACAGAATTAGTGTTATACGAATCGTCCGCTCTCGCGTATCTTATTTTCTTATGCGACATCGATACTATATTTGAATAATTTTTAGAAGGACGTCAAAAATCCTACAAATGCATTAACTGCAGTAGGAGTTATACATGGCTGCATGGCCTAAGTCAACATCAAAAATATGAATGTCAGAAAGAACCACAGTTCTTATGTACAGCAGGTGGTTGCTACTACAAAACAAAAAGGAAGGGATCTTTGAAGGCACATATGCTGCGAATACACTTCAAGCAACCAAAGGAAGAAATACACACGCTTTTTAATGATATCGGTAATCTATCTCAAGTTGGTGGCAATTCACGTAACAGTTTTACCACAGTATCACCCTACGGACAAGAGTAAGCTCTAGTACTATGTGTGCTTCCACGTACATATATACCTACTCACTTCTTCGTCATTAGCATTACAAATGTTGTAAATATCTAAAATAAACGTCTGCTTCGTTTGATACTCTGTGAGCGTAATAAATTCCCATATTGATTTTCAGGTGTTACATAAATATAAGAATTAAGGTTATGACTACAATTGCATATTAAAAACCCGTCACTGGTGTTTTACATCAGGGCGTTGAAGAAGTAAATGTGTTTACAGAGTATTTCGTTTGATGTAACTGTAGCAGGTAGTGCATGACTGATTTGTTTATGTTTGCTATAGTTGCACGTTTACAAAATGCTAGTTATCATAAAGAATTGTACCCATTATTTAAATATGAACTGGACCAAGAAGGTAATTATTAAAGAGCTAAGAAACGTAATATATGATGCCCATTCAATATTGAATATTATTTCTTGTCTTGACTACAGTAAAAATAATGTTTATTTGTGTAGTGGGTAAAATGCGATGTCGTCTGTCAACAAATTGGGAAGAAGATGAATTGGGAGATTATTTTCCGTGCGAAAATTGCGGTAAAGTGTACAAGCATCGTGGAAATATGCGTCGACATATGGCATATGAGTGCGGCAAACAAGCACTTTTTACTTGTAAGTACTGCGCCCGTAAATTTCATCAACTATCTAATTTAAAAAGGCACTGTGAGACTCAGCACAAGAATGGTGACAAAAAATGTGCCTTTCCAAATTTTGCTTTCAAAATTTCATAGTTGGATTACTATCGCATGTAATTTCGTAAGTTTGGCGATGCTCTCTACCTAAGTTTCATTTTGGTTCATTTATTTTTCTGAGCGTACTCCATTACATCATTATGCTTTGTTGAATATTGATTTTATTGTGTTAAATTATCACTATAAACTTGTAAAACTGTCATGTTTGTGGAACAATGCGTGCTATTTAAGATATATTTTAAGCACCACCTGTTTAGTTAAAATTATAGACGATGGAATGGTTTACTAACTGTTTGTGTGACGAACTTTAATCGTGTTAAAAGAAAGTTGGATAACCTAATTCTAATTTGGCTAGCTGATTGTCCGGAAGTATTCATTAATCATTTAGGGTGATAGTTAATTAACATGCATTCATGTATTCATATATAGTAATCCTCCAAATTATGTGTTGTAGACCACAATTTAAGTTTGAGCAATCGTCCTATAGTGAAATTCTTTCATATTATTCAATGCTTCCGATCTCCTAAGATTTTTACGACTGCATGCAAATTTATAGTCCATAATAATATTGGATTTGGAGAACGGTTGCTTTATAAATGATGTATACTATAACTTTATATGTAGGTTAAGTAGTGCTATAGTATATGTGTTGCTTATGATGAATTTTCCTCGTACACCGGTAAGAAAAGAAGACGTAGCCTAAAGATGATCAACTGTTCATAGTTACCATGTCTTTGACGTAAAACTAGATTAAATTGTTTTGTAGCTAGAAATAAGTGGAGCTTTGTGTTTTGCAAATATTCAAATAAATGTGATTTTGAAATGCGTTTTTCACTGCGTTTAGTGGTATGTCGCTTGTTGCAATAGGTTTGTATTGATTAATTATCGCATATTAAAACCCTATTTTTTAGGAAATGAGATTTTTGTTTGTCCTCGGTGTGGCAATACTTATAAAGCAATAGGATCTTTAAAAAGACACATTAAATACGATTGTGGACGTGTTGCGAAACCAGTTATCACCGGATATACTGTTTCACCATCGGGTTACGTCTGTCGAGGTTGTCAGAGGGTGTACAAAACATTTAGTTCGTTAAAAAGACATCTCAAGTTTGAGTGCGGAAAAACTGCGAATATCGAATGTCCCATTCGTGAATGTAGTTATAGAGCTAAAATCAATTGTAGAATGTTGCAACATGTTAGGATGGTTCATAAAATTGACTGTTAAATCAATATAGCAAAAAATTGTTTCTATTTAAATATACATTATATATAGTTTGTAATATAAAAAAATGTGTTTTTTTTCAATGGTGGCTAGTTCATAACATAGTTCTAATAGATGATAACCCAAAAAATAATCGATATCGAAAATCATCAAATGTAAAATAGACATTCTATTTGTGTCTTTTTGTGGTGTATCAAATTTACAGGTTCAATCAATCTCGAAACTATGATTCGCTATTTCTTTGCAATACAAAATCGGATTGTCGGATTGAGTTGCTTTAGGTATTTTAAAAACGTGAAATTTTTTCTATATGCGGCAATTTGATTGATTGATAAGTTCCTTTCTAAAGCAGCTTAATAAAATTAAAAAAAATACGTATTTTCTCATCATGCATAAGCGATAAATCAAATATTATTTTATTGAGTAATTTTCCGATGAAATTCGACGAACCTATAGTGAACCACCGGCTGGTGCGACCCGTTACTAACGACATCCACGATTCTAGAGACAAAGTTGGCACAACTGCTATATCAGAGGGACGTATTACTATCATAACTATATTGCATTTTGTTTTGTAGTTGCTGTACTTTAGAGATGCCTATCCGTAGATGCATGTTTTAAATGTGAAACAAGCACCCGCTAATTCTTCAATATCATTTTAGATTTTGTGAAACCACATAAATGCTCTAACTGTACTAGGGCTTATATGCACAAGTCGACACTCTATCGCCATATCAAATATGAATGCGATGGAATAGCCAGGTTTGGCTGTCCCATCTGTGATAAAGCATACACCCAAAGCAATTCGCTCAAACAACACATTCGTGCGATGCATTCTGAATTGGTTTTATAATTACATTTTTTTGTTCATCTGTCGACATTTATGTCTAGTTGTTCACGCTTATAAATATGTTATCTATTTTTAAACAATAAAAAATTTTTCTAATTATTGAAATTGTGATTTTGTCTCCTCTTTAAAATATGGTGTCGCTTTTTAGTTACATACTACGTTTATTTCTTCTATACTAACATTTTCCCCTCATTTGTACATAGGCATATTTAATAATAAATAACTCTTTATGTACATATAATTACGCATTATGTTTTGCACGTATGGTCGGTTTAATTACAAGAATATCTAATTGTGATTTCAGAATTTTTGATATTGGACTCTATAATACCTCCCGAAGAAAATGAAGTATTACTATCCCTTCTGCATAAGTCACCGCCCAGACAAAAGAACCCTGGTCGTAAAGCCATGCGCAAATATAATGTAGAAGGTGAACGATCGTCGATACGTCCCGGATATAGTAGCGATTCCCAATTTGTTTGTCGTCATTGTGGTAAAAGATATCGCTGGAAATCAACAATGCGAAGACATGAACAAGTGGAGTGCGGTGGAAAAGAACCTCGGTATCGCTGTCCTATATGCCCTTATAGGGCGAAGCAAAAAGGGAATTTGGGTGTGCATTATCGCAAACACCATCTGTAGTGCCTTTAACGTAACATTTAATGATGAAATAATTTCTTCCCAATCTTCGCAGAAGGGGACAACAAATTCATATATATCTTAAATGCACCGGACGTCGCCTCTGGGAAGATCAGGGCGAATACACCAAATGTCTTCTTGTTATCGATTTTTATGAATTTTATATTAGTATACAATTAACCGTCCATATATTAGAGTGCAATTTTTATACATTGTTTATGAGGTCATGTAAGTGGTGGATTGTTATATAATATTTTGTTATGAACACTGGGATAGTATATATGAAACTGTTTTCTAAATAAATTTTTCTAGGGTTTTATATGTATCCAATTTTCTTGTGTATGTACGGAGATCAAAGCAAATATTAATCGTTATGTAACGAACTATCTTCTGACTCTTTTTATTTTTAGAGACTGCAGAAATAAAGCATTATTTACTTCCTGCAAGAGGGCTAGTGCGATTTCAATGCAGTAGATGTTCAAAAAATTACAAAAATAAAACTAGTTTGAGGCGTCATTTGAAATTAGAGTGCGGTGTACCACCCCAGTTTCCATGCTCTCTGTGTAATCATCGATCTAAAAGAAATCATGATTTAACTGTACACTTTCGTGCAAAGCACAGTGATACAAAACCGATTTTCAATTATTGAACATGTATATTTAAAATTAAAGTGATATCTAGCACCATTTACTTTATTGTAACTATAGAATTATCTGGTATCTATCGCTTTAATTAAACTTGAGAGCTTTTAATTTAATTTTGATTTATGTCTAGACTATCTTGCCAAACCGTCAACGCAATTTCAACTCCTTAAAGAAGTCATAACGGATAGCTATATTGAGGATTGCTCTTCACCTGTCACGATTAAAGTTGATCCAGGTATATCTAGTGAGCTTAGCAATTTCATTGACTTCGTTTGCCTGTAGACACTATGTCCATACTGTTATACATCAAAGAACAGAATAATCGAATTTTGTCTATCTTAACAAAACGATTTACGGCGGTCTCTATTTCCCAACTCCCCGATGATCTACCTATTGAGTTTCCATTACAAAGCATTAACGAAATTTTAATACTGGAAAATTATCTGAATAACGAACATTCAATAACGTCTTTGGTAAGTTATACTAACAGCTATGGCCATGTATCTATCTAAATAAACGAAAAAACATTTCATTTTAGTGTACTTATTTCTCAACTTTGGGAGGAAGAGATGCCATATCCTGTACAAACAACATTCTCAAAAGAATGCTCAGTAATACGGTGGCTCAAGAATTTAGTTTCTACGGTTCAAGGAAGCCTAAAAAAGCATTCTCAACTTTAAAACTTAAATATCTTACAGTTCGTAAGTTTTTCTAAGAGTACATTCTGTAGATTTTTATATATTCGTATCTTAGGAGCAGTACAATTAACGTGTTCGATGGCAACCGAAAACGAAATTTGCGGATACATAAAAACATGGCTTAAGCACGCGCCTCAACGTTTGTCTAATGAATTAAAACTAAAGAACAAGTCAAATTAATTTTATTACGTTGTTTCTTATATAACTGAGATTTTTTGTCAGCTTGTAAGTTGCATTAATACATAAGTACCTAAAGTGTGTTGTCGTTTTGCAAATGATTTGTTACTTCTTTCGATCATCCATGAGAGCGTTGAGTGAAAATTATTCAATGATGAAAGTGATTCCATTAATGTTGGTTTTATAATTCTCGCAACGAGAGATTTTCCCCTACGTCATTATTTGGTGCGCATCTCGCATATTTACACTCTCTCTCACAATGGTACGCAACCCTATATAACCGACCTTATTAAGATCTAATGACGCAGGTCTAAACACTTCTAGCAAAGATTGTATGTTAATTGTTTTGTTTTGTAGGTGACAAGATGAACTACGTGTGCAAAACTTGTGGAAAAGTGTACAACAACAAAGGCACACTTGCGAGACATGCAACTTACGAATGCATGCAACAAAAACGATTTCATTGTACCTATTGTAGTCATAAATGTAACAGAAAGGATAATTTCAGACGGCATCTCGTAATTAAACATGGAAAAATTTTATTTTACTCATAATGGGTTGTGGTGCGGGTTTAAGAATAATATATAATTTATTTAATACTGTAACATACTCTTAAATAATTCAAAGTAGAGATTGTAGATTCAATTTTTACCATTCAATTATATTTTTAATGAAATTTTATTCTAGGAGTACGTACTTTTGTCTATACTAGAGATCAAAATGGGCGATTCGTTTGTATACAATGTGGTTTATCCTATAAACAAAAGGGCCACCTTTCGAGGCATATAAAATACGAATGCGGAGTGGAGCCAAAGTTTCGTTGTAACTTTTGCAGTCGAAGATTTAAGCATAAAAACAGTTTACAACTACATACTCGTTTACAACATCAACCGTTTGCTTTTTAGCGCTTTGTTTATTTGCTTTTTGTGATTTTTTTATACACTCATTTGAATTATTTACTTTTTTAAGGTTTATTATCATGTTACGTTTGTCAAACGACGTTCCGTTGGTGCCTTATTTCTGTAGCATAACTTACTCTGTACTATATAATCTCACGCGAGGTGATTATGTTAGATTAATGATTGAGAAATTAGTTCTAAAAAAACTCAGCTGATTTACGCTTCCTATGTTATTAATTGTTAAGTAAATACGGAGTGAACCTCTGGAAATGTCTATATATTTTTCATAATTCAAAAATGAGTGGATATGGATTGATACTTTTTGTGTTGTTGTCTGTTACATTGGGTCATACGTTATGCAGAAGGAATTAGTAAGTAGCAGCTCTTATTATATCATACGCGCATTTTCGTTAATCATTGTCTCAAGTATGTGTATTTCCAATTTTTGATTGACTATCTATAAGGAGAAAATACATACTTCAAGTTTCGGTACAATGTGCTGTTAATTTAAAAATAGGCATGGACATGCTCCAGATCTAACTTCGACGAGCTGTTACACATAAATTGGAAAAGCCCTTCAGACTGCCGTAACATTCAGACAACTTCACAATTAACGATTCATTTCTTTGAAATACTCTCCACACGGATACGTTTAAGTTAGTTAAGTTATATCGTATTACCTATTGTTTTAGAC